ATGTATGGGATACACGTTTGGCTTGTCATTTTTTTAGTTAGGTTTAGTCCCATATAGAGAAGTATAAATACTTCTTATTTCCTCTGTAATCTCCTTGATATAGTGAAACTGACTCTCTCCTGCCCATGGACTAGCTAACACACATTGTGTTAGTAAACCACGTAAATCGTGTATCTGTTTTCGATTCTCGCTTTCGTATTCTTGCTTTCTCGATTCCGACAATTTATCGATCCGTAACAGCGCAGTTATAACAAGCCAATTCCGCACCACATCAAGAATCAACGGCAGAGACTCCAGGGGGAGAAATACCCGTGAAGGGAGGGGAATCCGCGCCATGTGCGGGGAATAGAGAGTAAAGGGCCAGCGAATGAACAATTCGGCGGTGGAAGGAATGCCCTGCCGGTTAGGGGACGATGGCGGCTTTGGAGATTAATGTAAAAATGGGCAATTCCGCCAAGTCATCATTTTTGCTTCGAGATTCCGCCGGAGTTTACGGCGTTGAGTGGAGGAATTTCTGGTGTGGTGTGGGGCATATATCGCACATGCGCGCCTAATCCCATTAGCCATTGCGTTTGCGTATAAGAAAACTAATCCAACAATTTAGGAGGCGGCCTGGTTTTTGTTATACCAAAAAAAAACATAGCCAAATCGCAGGACAAGTACTCAATGAGCACTCGATCAAGAGAAACGATACATAGTATCACCCTACATAACATGATAGAAACCGTTAATGTCTCACCAAATATTAGGATGTGAGTGTGTTTACACTACAAAAATAATCGTGTACCACATTGATTATTTACAAGACATTAACTGTCTTTATAAGGCCAGATCAACAATAACAATTAATGTTATTTAAACTGGGCCTACGATACTAGATTTTTAAACCCAAATGATTAGGCCTGACATGACGCATGAGAATAAACTAAGTCTGGTGCCTCATCGCGACAAGCCTCCTCGCGTAAAGCCTCCTCGCGTCAAGTTGGTAGACCGCCTTGTCGTGACAAACCGCCTTGTCTAAACCACATCGCGAGTCTACAAGATATGTGGGGAGAAGGACACAAAATAAACTAAGTTCAAGCGCCAAGCCTCCTCGCGTAGAGTTTGGTAGACCGCCTCGTCGCGACAAGCCTCGTCGCGCCAAGTTTGGTAAACCACCTCGTAGCATTGTCATCATGTTTGACAAACCGCCTTGTCACGAGATTTGGAATAGCCATGGTAAAGGAAAGGGCAAGTAACAAGACGTCAGTTCCAAAAGGGAGAGCCGACGGTTTGATTGAGAAACTGTCAATTACTCCACGTTCAAGGACACGCCAGCCACGTCCGGGAAAGAAGGGAAGCGGTTCTTTTTGCAAGTTACTCTCCAGACAGTTTTCTACGACGGTTATCACCTCAAGCCTATAAATAGGAGGAAGAATTGTCAGAGAAGAGGTTCGCCAAATTCACACCAGACAACACTATGTCAAATTTTATCCCTTTATCCTTTCCTCTGCAATTTTAGCCGTAGTCGTAGATCTGGAGCTCTCACTGAACCTCCATAGGAGTAGGAGTAACTTAATGTAGATCTGTCTCGAGAGTCGTGTAAACATCGATCACCCTCGTTCGAACTGTGTTTGAAGAGGTGTGAGCCGTGTCTTAGTAATCGTTGTCCAAAGAAGTCAAGGTGCAATCAATATCAATTCAACGCAAGTTTTCTCGCCGGAGAACAGAGTGAATTTTTTTGTTGGAAATTCAAGTGATTTCACGTATCACTCGTTAGTGCTACCAGACATGCATTTCCACGAAGGAAATGAAACAATTCATATACTTTCATTTTTCTTCCTATTCAGTCATCAAAAATCAAATGTCTATAGATATCTCTTGCGAAATATCAAAATTTTCTGACTATACATTCGTTGAAAAGGGTTCATCAATCTTATATTTAATTTTTGTTTAAAAGATCTTGGTAATTCACTTTGCGTCAAAGATTTAGCAAGCTAATTTGGCTTGGTCCCATCGGATCTCCAACAACAGATTTTGTCACCAAAAGTAAGTGAGTAACATGGTAGCCATTTCCGTTTGCTATGTCCATAATCCATATGTATATATAACGTTAACTGCTACTACTAGAAGTCACGGGATCGGTCTCGCTGTATGGGCTTAATGTTATTTGGGTTCGTGTTCTGGGCCTAGTTGTTACCGTTTTTCCTTTACCATATTGGATTAGGGTTATACCTTGAAAAAATACTATAAATACTTCTCATGCTCCTCTTTAATATGTATATAATCAAAGTGTCGTGGAACTGGTTCTCTCCTGCTCGTGGACTATTTAAGACACATTGTGTCAGTGAACCACGTAATCCATGTGCCGTGTGTACTTCGTTTTACTGCTTTGTCGAATCCTCCTATTTCCCGATCCACAGAACAACAATCCTCACACAACCTTTTTAACTTATAATTAGAGGGTTATTTGGCTTGTATTCTGAGCTTGGTTTGGCTTTAGTCTATGCTCTAATGAACTTATCCATGTCAATTGTCATAAACAGAGGTCCATTTGAACTTTTGTGAAATTAATTTGGATGTGGGCACAAATTTATCTGTCCACTTTCGATTAAATAATGGATGGAGATGAACAAAATATCGTCTTCTAAATTAGGGCATGTAAAGTTAATAATGTCTAATCTAAATTACATTTTATTAGTAACCTCTAACTTAAGTGACCATCTATATATGTACCACTACAAATCTACATTTATACTAAAAATACAAAATGAAGATTCCACCAACTCGAACTCAACATTTTGAGTTACCTTTTATGTATAGTGTTGCATACACCTGGGTGTTGGGTGGGCACGCTTCTGTCTCGTTAATCCCGTATCGTGATTGGCATATCTCGTCAGTTTTCGTGTCATGTTGTGTTAGCCCAATTTTCAATTTTTTTAAGTATGACACGGGTTTGCGTGCGGTTTTAATCGTGTCGTGGTGCCTACTGGTGCTCATGTCGTGCTCTTATTCGTGGTTAATGAAAAGAAAGAAATTAATATATGGAATGAAAAAGAAGAAGAAAATTGGAAGGAAATTAATGTTCGTTATAGTCCACTTATAGATTATGTTGTGTCTAACTGTCTATACTCATGCTTGACGGACCAATATATATCGTACCCATACTCATACCGCGCTCTAACCGTATGGTGTTGTGTTAGACCGTGGAACGACCCGACTTGACCTGACCCGGTGCCCTGATAAAAGGTTGTTAAACCCCTATCGAACCCCCCGGTTGGACCCGAGTCGGGCTTCAAAACGGCCTCCAGAAAACCCCCCGGTCTGACCCCTAAACAGGGATAAGAAGAGAGGCGGAAGAGAGGAAAAGGAACGAAGAAAGGGAAATGGTAGTGGATCATGAAGGTTAGGTAGATTTATTTTGTTGAAAATAAATTTTAATAGATATATGTAAGATAAATTTTACTTCACTCATTAAATTTTTAATTACTACTTTATTTGTATATATATTTAGAAAACGTCTAAAACGGCTCAAATCGGCAGGACCCCGATCAGACCATTAAACCTCAAACCCCTTGCTTGACCGGCTCAATGACTTAAAACGGTTTGACAACCTTGCCTGATACACTTGTTGCTAGGGGTGTTCAAATGGTTACCATGGTTATTACCAAACCAAATAAGGCTAAATTTCATTAACCATGGTATACAATATCATAACCAAACCGTCCAAACTAATACAACAACCAAATTAACCAAACTAAAGTTTAAACGGTTTGGTTGATTGGTTAACCAGATTAACCAATATAAAATCACATTATCGTTAAGTGAGAAAGTTTTCGGTTAATTTATCAATTCACAATTTATATAATGAATAAAACATAACAATCAACACCGTTATAGTTGACCCTTAACATAAATACATGCAACTAAGACAATTATCTTACGGTTAGTATAGAAGTATTCACCTAACAAAAATTTATCACAATGGTATGGGTTAATGAATTGTTGTATTTGTTGTATGAGATTTATCTAAACTATGCGTTCATATGTTGTGGTATACACTTTACATGTACAAATATACATTATATGAACAATATCAAACTTTATATTTTATGAGTCTAAAAGAATTGAATGTTTAACTCTTGAGTGATTATTCAAAGTATTAAGTATGTGTATATATTAGATATATGACTAATTATTTATCTGGTTAATTTGGTTTGGCTGGTTAGGAGTGTCTGAAACCAAACCAAACCACCTAAACCAAACAAGCTAAGAACTTTAACCAAACCAAACCAATTATCCAAATTAACCAAACCAAATTATCCAAATAGTACTGGTTAAAACGGTTTCCATGGTAACCACGCCGTTTGAACACCCCTACTTGTTGCTTCCAATCTTCCTTCGGTTTCACCCCTTCTCCATTTTCACCCTTTCTCTCTCTCTCTACTAATTATGACCAGAAGTCCGCCACAATTACTGGTACCTGCACTGCCCTCTAGGTACCTCCGATGATCAGCGTGATGTGATGTACCACTCTCCCAGAGTCAAAACCGTAAATGATGATAACACTAAAGTGGGTCGACGAAGAAATGTTGCAGAGACAAAACCGCACTGCCAAAAATTTTGAAAAACAAAAAATCCCCCCTCTGTCCACAACAGTAGTTAATTTGAGAGGTTGCTTTGTTGACCGGTCAACGTTTGCTCCCGTCCGCCACGTAGCTTTACTCTTTCCTTTCCTCCCTTGTCTTTCTACCTTTTCCACTTCTCTAGGCATCGGCCGCCCAACTTAACGGCCAAAAACTACCAAACAAACAGACAAACACCACCAACATTATAATTACCCCAAAAGATGTGAAAGGTAAAGGCTTCCCTTCCCTTCCCTTCCCCCCGTAATTCCGGCAATCAGCCAATCACCTCCAAAAAAAACTAACCACAACCGGCGCAGTGATTGCAGCATGCTCTGCCTCTGCCTCTCTGCCTCACTCACCCTACATTTTCAATTATTAGACCCCACCCAAACCCAGAAATGTTCGCCTTGTTTGGTTCCACTTCCATACCCAAAACCCTTCCTCTAACTTGTAGGCTTTGTGTCCTACACTCTCCTCCTCTGCTTCTTCTATATATACCACACCCAATTCCTCACTTCCCATTCATTCCTTCCCCCTCCACCACACAACCCAAAACCCACAAACAACAATGGCATCATCATCCCCCACATTACCCTCCACCTTCATTCTCCTCTCTCTCCTCCTCCTCCTCCTCCTCCCTGCCCTCATTTCCTCCTCCCCTGTCCACGACCCCGACCTCGTCGTACAAGAAGTACACCGGTAAGTACACTTCCCTCTCGCCGCGATTAGTCTCAGCATTGTGTCTCCCGACACGACATCGTTGTAGAATTCCCCCCTAGTAATCGTGGTCAATTTGTAACATTTTTTTGGGTACATTTTGTTTTGTTACTGCTATAGTAGCTAGACTACAAAAATGTGTAATATTTTTTTTTAATTTTTTTTTTAATACAGGGCAATAAATGCGTCGAGGAGGATGCTAGGGTACCTGTCCTGCGGAACAGGGAACCCAATCGACGACTGCTGGCGTTGCGACCCAAACTGGGAGAAGAACCGGCAGCGCCTCGCCGACTGCGCCATCGGGTTCGGCAAAAACGCCATCGGCGGCAGGGACGGGAAAATCTACGTGGTCACCGACCCGAGCGACAACGACGCCGTGAACCCGAGACCGGGGACGCTCCGCCACGCCGTGATCCAAGACGAGCCGCTGTGGATCATCTTCCAGCGCGACATGACCATCCGGCTGAAAGAGGAGCTGATCATGAACTCGTTCAAGACCATCGACGGCCGCGGGGCCAGCGTCCACGTGTCCGGCGGGCCGTGCATCACGGTCCAGTACGTCACCAACATCATCATCCACGGGATCCACATCCACGACTGCAAGCAAGGGGGGAACGCTAACGTGCGGGACTCCCCACGGCACTACGGGTGGAGGACCGTGTCGGACGGCGACGGCGTGTCGATCTTCGGCGGGAGCCACGTGTGGGTGGACCACTGCTCCCTGTCCAACTGCAACGACGGGCTGATCGACGCCATCCACGGGTCCACGGCGATCACCATTTCGAACAATTACATGACCCACCACGACAAAGTCATGTTGTTGGGCCACAGCGACAGCTATACTCAGGACAAGAACATGCAGGTCACAATTGCGTTTAATCACTTTGGCGAAGGTCTCGTTCAGAGAATGCCTAGGTAACAAAAATTATTATACATGAATTAATCAAGTAGAATTAATTAATTGTAATTATGGTTTAATTAATGTTGGGTTTTGGGAGCAGGTGTAGGCACGGGTACTTCCACGTGGTGAACAATGACTACACACATTGGGAAATGTACGCCATTGGAGGGAGTGCTAATCCGACCATCAACAGCCAAGGCAACCGATTCGTTGCTCCTAATAATAGGTTCAGCAAAGAGGTACAGTCTGTAACATCACATGTGACTTACCTTCTTTTTTCAAAAAAAAAAAAACGTAACCAATTCGATTTCTTTGATGCGATTTCGTAATTCTTATGTGTACTAAACGCGCGCGCGCAGGTGACGAAATACGAGGATGCGCCGGAGAGCGAGTGGAAGAATTGGCATTGGAGGTCGGAAGGGGATTTGATGTTGAACGGGGCGTTCTTTACGACGTCGGGGGCAGGGGCGTCGTCGAGCTATTCCAGGGCGTCGAGCTTAGGAGCAAAGCCATCGTCACTTGTGGGTTCGATCACGGTGGGAGCTGGTGCGCTGACTTGCCGAAAAGGGTCGCGTTGCTAGCCCGATGGTCAAGAATTCTAAGATAGATGGATGGATGGATGATACGTATACATGAATTAATTGGGCCTCCAAAGTTGGGGGACCTTATTTACTAGTTAGAAAAAGTGTGTGGGGTAAGGAAGGACCGGAAGGAAGGAAGGAGGGAAGGACTAATTATGAAGAAATGGAGAAAAAGGAGGTCTGGAACAGTAATTTTACAGCTTGGGGTTGGAGGGGGATTTATGATGAATGTGGTGGTGGGGAGTTGAAGGGGATGAAAAGTCTTACCCTCTTCACAAGTATTGTCGTTTGGTTTGTTCTTTTTTGGTTTATTTTTATTTTTGGGCCGGCTCGTTAAGCAGTTTGATGTAACAACCTCGGCTTGTTAATCTTAGGATCCATCCGATCAAAAGGATTCTGTTGTGAGGAATCAGAAATTGGATAGATTTCTAGGAAGATTATTGGAAAAAAGAACAAGTTTAGAAGTGTTGATATATGTGTAAAGTATATGTTTATAAATTAAATGTAGTGTTTTCTGATCCTCCATCTGCTATCTTACTTATTGTTTACCCTTTAGCTATGAATATGTCTTAATAGATAGATAGTTAATATTTACTTCCAAGCATAACAATGTCAACTATTTCCACAAGTTCGTACACAGTTTGAAACCTACTCATCATGGCACCATACATTACGAGTGCAAGTTAAGGAAACAAAATTCAATAGACATTGTAGTCCAATAATATTATGAAACATTATGATCCAGAATTCCAACAACCGTGTTTTATGATCTTTGTGTAAGCATGTGCTTATACTATCTGATCGTACATCCTATAATTCACGTACATTCGTTTGATGAATATGGTGACAATTATTTGAGAAAATTAACCATCATTTCCTGTGTCCGACGATTAAGACTCGTGGAACACCCGATTCGATGGTATAACCACTTGCTTACATACTACTCTCATTGCTCATTGTACTACATCTTGTTGGTAATTAAATCCATCGTTGTACATTTAATTAGTAGTTGTCTAGCTTGTATATCTTAATGTCATCCTCGCCGACGAAATTAAACTCAAAAGAGACGGATTGCAACCAACAAAAGATAGGCAGAAATCGGGCACTTAAGTCTAGAAGGCTATCGCTTTATCGTTATGACGGAGATCTAATTAGCAGGACCCACGAGAGATTATGGAATCCATTGGGGCTGGGGACAGATAGAGAGACCTAATAGAAAAAGAGCAAAGGCACATGCAATGCAAAGGCAATGGAAGTTGTTTTCATGAATGGTCGCCGGTTGGGTTGAGTGGACTCCCAAAAAAAAAATAAACAAAATTGGCCTGTTTCCAATTTCCTCTTTAGATTACATCTTTGACAAAGTTGCACCATTGTCCCCAACGATTTCACGGTCCATTTTCCCCTCCACTTAGCCTAATTATTGCACATGCATCGTACAAAGAAAACTTGAACTGGATTCATTATGGAAAAGTGGGGTTTAAGGCATCCAATTTTGAATTTTAGATATTTTTTTATTCATATTTTAACTCGGATATATTAGTAAATTTTGTTTTATCTAAACTTTTACCTTTTTTTCTTCGTAATACATTTATTTTGGAATTGATTTTTATTACAATAGCTCTCTTATCCGGTGGTGAATCTATCTATAAGATATATGATGGAGATTCATGACTCAACTTTCTTCCATTTTAAATTTTCTGCAACGAGAGTGAAAGTAGGAAGGGTACTTTCGTCATTGCAATTGTTTATTTTTTTATTTGAAAAAAATATCAGTGTCAAGATTTGAACCCGGGTCTCTTCTAACAAGGACAAGAGTCATAACCAATAAGACTAAACAAATTTGTTGCATTTATTTATAAAAAAAAACACACAAGAGGCAAAATTCTGAAAATCAAATGACTTTTCCAGCACAGTTAGCTACCCCACTAAGTCTTTCTTAAGCATTTTTAGTGTTGGATCTTTGATTATCATTTATTATTATTTTATTTTGACTTCAATAATAATGGTAGTCTATCTTATAAATGGAGGATAAAACCGCAATCCAAATATCATTTATTCGAATATTGCATATCAAATTACAATATTAAATATATATGTGCACACACAACCACATATATATGGGTCAGACTGGTGTACTCCTGGAGTATATTATACTTCAGGTACTCTTCGTGAGATATCTCTATCTAGACCATGATTTTTAACCGAGTTTGGGGTATGATACTCTACCCTAACCTCTAATGGATAAACCCCAGGCCCCGATTCTCTAAACTCAAACCCAAAGTTTAATTTAATGGAAAATTATAATTGACCATTGAGATTGATTGGAGCTCAACAAAGTACATCTAATGTCTAGATCATGTGGAGTATACTATACTCTTGGAGTATACCAGTATACTATACTCCTGTAGTATACCAGTATGTGTGTGTGTAGTGTTTTCTATCATATTTTGAGTAAAATCAAAAGGTAACTCATACCCTTGGTAAGAAATGGCAATCTAGACTTTGAATTAACCTGATTTCGAGACGAGACACTATATTCTAACCCTTGACGAGTGAACTCTAGGTCTTAACTATTTAAATCATAGATCCTAAACCAAGGATTATAAAACCTCATCAGAGGTTGTACCGAAAAAGTCGGCAGGAGGGTATTTTATGCGAAAACTGTGGTTAACCGTGATTCAGTCGTTTCACAACACTACATAGTGCCTACTGGTTTAGTCGAACCCCCGGTACGTTAAGGGTTTTCAATCCTTGCCCTAAACACTAAGATTATGCACATAATTTTTTTGATGTATTTTGATGAAACACGACCTTCGATTATTGTTTCTAATAAAATTGATCTTAGTATATGAGCTTCATAGAATTAAGACCTAGATTTTAATCTGTAAGGGCTTAAGGTATAGTACCATGTCCCTAGCTCCGGCCACTAGACATCATTTTCATACTCAGAGTATATCATCCAAGGTCTATATATCATTTCCTTATGTCATTTTCTTAATCAAAATATGATAGAACCACCCATACTTATAGTTGTGTTATCCTGCTGGAAAGTCATTTGTTCTAAATGTTAGTTGGTTGGACTGCAGTTTTATCAGGGTTGTATGTTGTTTGAAACATTTTGAACTTCATTAGTCCAATATTTTTAGTACTCCTATATTATTTAGGGATAATATCCTATTTTGTGCTGAACTTTGATGTAAATAACAATTTTGGCATGAACATTCAAATAAGATAGTTTTGTCCGAATTTGAAAGAAATTAACAAATTTGACCCGAAATTTGGGTCGGTTATTAATATTGAGGGTCAAACATTTCTTTTTTTTATGACTCAACATACAATGTTAAGGTGACTGTGGTGTGACTTTCACGTCATAGGTATAATATGCTATTTTGCCCTACACTTTCAAATAAGACAGTTTTGTACGAATTTTCAAAGAAATGAATAACTTTGACCCAAAATTTAGGTTGCCGTTAATATTGATGAGAGGGGTACAAAGAGAGATAGTTTCGTGCTTTGGGATTTTTGGGGGCCTGAATCAATTTCTTTTTCCTTTTAATATGATTTATGCAAGTAAATATGAAAATATTAGGATATACTAAGGGTCCTATTTTGTGGACTTTTTTTCTTCTGAAAAATTCACTTTTTTAGACTTTACAAATAAATGACTTGGAAGCCACATCGCAACCGAAACCTCTCTATCACAACTGTCAATATTAAAGGTCAACCCAAATTTCGGACCAAATTTGTTCATTTCTTTCAAAGTGCAAACAAACCTATCTTATTTGAAAATTCGAGCCAAAATTGTCTTTTACATCAAGTTCATGCCAAAATAAGGTATCATCCCTATGACATGGAAGCCACATCGCAATCGCAACCACCTGAGCATTGTATGTTGAATGGATGAAGAAATTTTTAACTTTTAATATTAACGAACAACATAAATTTCAGTCCAAATTTGTCCATTTCTTTCAAAATTTTGAAAAACTGTCTTATTTGCAAGTTCATGTCAAGTTTGGCTTTTACGACAAACTTCAAGGTCAAAATAAGGTATATCCCTATTATTTATGGTCAACTTACCAATCAAAGTAGTCAGTGAAAGTATCAGCAACACTGACAAAGACAAACATATGTAATTCAAAATTAGTTGCACTCAGCCTTAAGTTTGAAGCTCTCTTGAGAACCCGGACTATTTTCTAGGCATCTTTGGGGACTACGACTAGCATGCTTCCAAACCAGCTGATCCTTATTCTACTTTCTATGAAGAGGAATAATATGGGTGTATCTGTTAGACATTAATTAGGGTTACAAATGATCTCATTCCTAAAATCTGTTAGAGACCAATCTTTTTCTTTCCTTCTGAGGGTTCATTATGTATGTTTTAGGAAAAACAACTCTAATCTTGAACTATTTGCCAGTTTTAAGTATTGAAAACCTATTATTTTGTATGTTTTTCTTTTCTTCTTTGAACAATTATATTTCTTTTTTCAGTGATATGTCGTATCTTCCTATTATATTGTAAGCATGTTATATGAACATATTTTTTGTCTAGACTTTCCCGGCCAAGGGGCCGGGCCCGGTGCTAGTAAGAATGACCGTAATGCGTTCCACTCATTCTAACCGATCCAACTCACTTGTATTTATCGCTAAAATTAAGAAGAGGAAAATTAAAGGCTTTCTAGGAGAGAGAGGATGCTGATGTGGGCGGGTTACTCATAGTTACTCACCATAGGTTACTGACCTGATCCGTTCCCGTTACAACCCATGTTACAAGAGAATCGATCAGGTAAGTAATCTTATGGTGAGTAACCATGTGTAACCCGTCCACATCAGCATGACATCAACATCCCTCTCTCTCTCATGGAAAGCCTTTAATTTCCTCTCTTTAATATAGACGGACGATTTCTCACTCGTTTTAAGTCAAAATTTAATTTTTTTGCACAGTTAGATCAGATTAATTGTGCTCTTCAAAATGATATTCACTTTTATATATTTTTCGAACAAAAAAATTGAGCCATTTTTTACCAGTATATACCATATGGTATTGACTGGTATTGAAATAAGAGCATACCTATGGTTTGAAAATCGTACCATGGTGGTATGAACAAATCAAGACTATAGGATGATTGAATACATGATAGTAGAAGTATATTAACTGTCATTTACGACTTTTAACATTGTGTACCACAAGATACCACCTCGTACCAGGGTGATATTGTATGGTATTGTGTGGTATTTTTTGGTCATGTAATTTGTTCACCCAGAAATTTGTAGATCCAATAGATCATGATGAACTCGTTCCTTCTGTGCAAACGTTTTCAAAAACGAATTAAAAACGAAGAAGATACCATATGGTCTGCAGTTGGTACCGAGAGGCAAGAAATTTTTTTCTCAAAAATATTGAAAATTGATCTCATTATGTAAAGCACAACGACGTCGTTCCATTTGTGCAAAAAAATTAAATTCCAAGTTAAAACGAAGAAGATATGAGCCAATTAAGAAAGTTAGGGAAAATAAAAATGGTCTTTAATTCTC